TGGAGCGGGTTGAAATGAAATCGTATGCGCCGTGTATGGATTGGGCATGGAGTGGGTATGGTGGGGTGTGTGGGGAGGCGTGGAGGAGGGATAGCATAGCAGGAGGGCTCTCATTGACACAGGTTCTTGTGCAGCCTGTCTTGCAGGTCGACGAAGCTGTAGTGATACGACAAGGGACGGTGATACTGGGAAACATTACTGGCAAAGGAAGGCATCTCACCGGCACAGGTTCTGGTGCAGCCTGTCTTGCAGGTCGATGAAGCTGTTGTAGCGGTGCTGATCGAACGTGATGTTTCTCAGCACTGCTCCCACCACGAAGGGACGGATCAGGGCCGTCTGCATCGGCTCGCAGATGTGGGGGAAGGGTGATGTGAAGGGGAGGGGAGGGGAGGGGAGGGGAGGGGAGGGGAGGGGAGGGGGAAGAACGGGCGGCAAGGGACCAGGTATGAATGAGCAAGGGGGGGACCGGAGCAAGAATGAGCAGTTGTTGTGAGGGATGCTGCTAAACGGCCCAAACATCTACCTGGGTGCTGAGTCGCTTCGCTTCACAGCTCAGTTGAAGAGAGACGGCGGGGGTTCACCTGGGTGCTAACTCAGTTGCTCACAGCAGCCCTCAACCACCCATCTCATCTCACTCACCTCGGGCTTGAAGGTCATGGGATGGGAACGGGGCTGGCGGCAGCAGACTGGGCGAGCTTGAACTGGGGCATGGGCTCCAACTCCAATCCAAGGAAGATGCGCAGCGAGTGAGCCAGCCAGCCCCTCCAGGCACAGCTGGTCTTAATGTAACGGCTGCTCTGAGAGGGATTAAGAAATTTTCTTTTCATGTGCAAGCACTGCAGACGAGCCCACATACCTCTGGTTTCATGGTCATACGAGCCCAGAACCTCCGGGGCCATTGCTCCCAGCTCACCTCAGGCTTGACGGTCATGCGAATGGGGTTGGCAGCAGGAGCGAGCTTGAACTGGGGCACAGGCTCCAAGCCAAGGAAGATTCGCAGCGAGCGGGCCAGCCCCTCCAGGCACAGCAGGTCGTAGCGGTTGGCGGGCACCTCGATCTTGTAGATCACTTCCTCGTCCTCCGAGGTTCCCTCATCCGTCAGATGCTTCTCCTTGCGAATGATTGCCTTTTCTGTTGTCTGGATGTGAGGAAAGGAGAGGAGAGGGTTGAGAGGGAAGTAGCGGTTGGCAGGCAACTCGATCTTGTAGATCACCTCCTCGTCCTCTGACGGACCCTCGTCCGCCAGATGCTTCTCCTTGCGAATGATTGCCTTCTCCGTGGTCTGTAAGATTGGGGAATGGGAGGGGGTTCAGGGGTTGAGAGGGAAGTAGCAGGTCGTAGCGGTTGGCAGGCACCTCGATCTTGTAGATCACCTCCTCGTCCTCTGACGGACCCTCGTCCGCCAGATGCTTCTCCTTGCGAATTATTGCCTTCTCCGTGGTCTGGGGGCGGGAAAAGGAGGGCACGGCGGCAGGAGGTCAAGGGAAAGAGGAGGGGGTCGAGGGAGGGAACAGGGGAGGCCAGGAGGGTACCAACCCACTACTCTCCACCACTTTAAAGTGACTTGCTTACCGCCATCACATCATCACAAACTGGCTGAAACTCTACTCTCTCTACAGTCACACTCACCACGTCATCAAGCTCAATGCCAAACTCGAAGCAGAGCTCATCAAATTCCTCCTCCGCTGAAAGATCATACGGACAGACAGACGCATGGAAATGAGAAAAAAGAGAACAGTGGTCGGGCAATGTGGGGGAGAGAGAGAGAGACCAGAGACAAAGGAATGTGGGGAAGAACAGAGATAAGGGAAGGGAGTGTTTGACAAAATCTTCAACCACCTGGTTCAGGATTCATCACCACCTGACGGAACCACAGCCGCCTGAAAGAATCAGTAACCACCTGACAGGTTCAGTAACCACCTGACAGAATCAGAGACAAGTCTGTGACGCACTAGAAAATACTAGTATTGGACCGAATCCAGCAAACGAAATTTGTCGCTTACACCGAATCCAGCAAACTAAGTCTGTATGCTGGACCAAATCCCGCAAACGGAATCTGTTCGCTGGACGGAATTCAGCGGATAGGGCCAATGGATAAACCCCTGTGACGGCCGGCTGTCAAAACAAGTCTGAATCACCAAAACGTTAAAATAGGTTCCTCTGCTAAGCTTCAACTTTTCGCCATCGAGCTATCAAGGAAACCTATGAAAACTCATGGAGGAAGAGAGATCCGAGGGAGGAGGGAAAATAATGATGCTGAAACGAAAATCCTGGACGGCCGTACGTGTCCGTGTTCCCAATATAGGGTTCTTCGCTTGTTTCAGACGATTCCGAACGACAACTCGCGATGGGATGCGTACGGATTCCGCTAATACACACTTCAGCACGTTATAAGCACAAGGAAAGGAGACCGTGTAAGGACCACACAAGTTACCTGACTCACGAGGCTAAGTGATCCACACTGATACGTTACCACGAAGCCGTCGTAAACTGTTAATCACCTCACATTGGTAGTTTAACGACTCACTGTAAGTTTTCCCGAGCGCGGCGAAGAGCCGATCGCGACCCACGCTAACAGTCGGCATTCTCTCGGTGAAAGACGACAGATAAGATCAGCGCGGGATTTCGAGGCTTTTCGGGCTGACACGAGACGGTGCGCGGGTAAAAACAAAGAGAAATGTTTCTGGCGAGCAGCGCAAGATGCGGCGCGTCGCGGAACCACCGCAACCCTACGAGGTCAATGAGTTGGAGATTAAAAGCCTCGCTTAGGAGGCGGAAGAAAGAGCTGGTCGTCGAAGGCTTTGGGTAGTATCAAGGCACGAGACAATATCAGCAGTACATTATGGGAAAATATGCCGTACGTAACCATCATGGGACTCGATAACAAGAATGGTAAAATTGTAACGCGTACGGTCACTGTATCGGGATTTCTGGGGGGTTTGGTAAGTGGGATCACGGATTCAGTCACTAACAATAGGTAAAAAATCACGCGAATGGTCACACATGTAACTCCCGCCAAAATTTCTTGAAACTCTAAAATTTTCTTGCTCGCGCGCAATTAATCAGCTAACTTCGTAAAATACTAAAACCCAATTGGAATTGGATGCAGTTTGGGGACGGATCAACCCTAAACACCTGGCGAATTGTGTTTAGGGTTGATTCATCCGAAAATACATCCAGGTTCCTTTTGGGTTCTTTTTTGGCGGGAGTTTCATCTGTGACCATTCGCGTTATTTTTTCCCTGTTGATAGTGACTGATTCCGTGAAACGCTTTATCAAACATGTGAAAACACCCTTTGCAGTGACCGTACCCGCTATTTTTTTATCAAACATATTATCGAGACCCTTTTTTATTACGAGTGGCATATTTTCCCGTACATTATTCATGTATTTACCAGGAAAAAACTGCACTTCATCAGCCACATTACGGAAACAATATTTTTGGCAATACATAGCGGGTAATATACTAGCATAATAACATAGGTCTATATGTGCACAACTCTGCACGGAATCAACCAGGAGCCAGCAATACACCTACCAATATTGCACCGCACATCCCAAATATAGGATCAATTCGCCCGTGCCTAAAGCACGAACAGTGCGCAGACTTTCGCACCCATCCCTAGTCCAATCCAACCATATTCCACCCTGTTTTACCACGTTCAACCCTTGCGCATCCGAGTGCGCCGTATAGCACTCTAGCATCCGCTTTTTCCTCCAAAGACCTTGATACACCCAATTCCTCTTGCTCCATCATTATCTCTGCATCTGTCCTCCAATCCCATTCATCCCCTCCCCCAATTCCCGCATCCGCTCTTCTGTCTCCCCCTCACCATGCTCCCAGTTACCCACTCCCCCCCTCTCACCACCACCAGCACCATCACCAGCGGCAGCACCAGCAGCAACAGTAGCACCCTCTCTTTCCCTAACCCCAAGCCCCACCCCTTGCCCAGCCACCCCTGCTGCTTCTAACAATCCTCCAGCAGCTCCACCAGCATCTGTTTCCCTCAACCCCTCTGCTCTTCCCACGCTCTCTGACCTTCTCTCACCTCCAGTTTCCTGCTCTGTGCCTGACCCTGCGGCCAAACCTGCAGCACAACCTTCTCCAATAGCTCTGTCCCTTCCCACACCCCCTGCTTCCCCCCCACCACTCCCACCGCCGCTGCTGCTGCCGCCCTTAATACTACCACTGCTGCCATCACTGCTGCTAGTGCTGCCAGTGAGCCGGGGAGGAGCCTCAGCAGGGCGAGCGGGCACAGGGGAGAGAGACGAACGCAGCGGGAGGCGCAGGGGAGGAGTGAGAGGGCGGGCCGAACAACCTCTCCTCACCCCTGCTGCCCTCCCGGCTTCCCCACCACTCCCCCCCGCCCCATCAGCCCCTACAGAAGCGCTGCTTCTCAGGAACGATCCCATGGGTGACCTCAAAGGGGACCTGCTGCTGTGGTTGGTGCAGCTGTTGTTGGTGACGGCGCTGGTAGTGGTGTTGGTGGTGCTTGGTCCGGCAAGTTCAGCCCCGGCAGTGGAAGACGAGCCTCTCAAGGGTGACCGCATAGGAGACCCCATGGGGGATCGCAAAGGGGACCTGCTGCTGCTGCTGGAACGATGCGCACGTGCAGCACCAGCAGTGCCAGCAGGACCAGCAGTGCCAGCAGCAGCAGCACTGGAACTAGCAGCAGCAGCAGCTGAAACGCTACCTGAGGGAGTGACATACGTCCAACCATTGCCGGCCCTGCTCGAGCCAGCAATGCTGCTGCTCCCACCCCCACCACCACCTCGACCGAACCCCCCAGCACCACCACCAGCAACAGCGGCAGCGGCAGCTGCAGCAGCAGCAGTGCGAGCACTGCTGCTACCAGTGACAGCAGCACTGGCACCGCCAGTGTTGTTGTCGCGAGTCCTGCTTGACCCGACATTATAGGGGCAATTTCGGTTGCTACACACCGCACCTGGACTTCCCGAACCTGCCAGCTCAGCAAGATCTGAGCCCTCAATACCCGTACCTACAGCCGTTCCCGGACCTGCAGTTCCCATACCTGAACCTCCTTCCATTCCCGAACCTCCACGAGGTGAGGAAGGGGAGGGCTGCCCCAAAAACCTCCTCAGCGTGCCTGTGACGAATGAGGCGAATCTTTGCGCCCCTCTCGGCCCTGCTCCTGCTCCTGCTCTACCTCCTGCAGCTGCCGCAGCTGCTGCTAAGCACGTGTCAGCATCAACAGCGGCAGCAGTACCAGCACCAGCAGCAGCAGTACCACCTCCACGTCTAGCGTCCCCTGCTGACGCCAATCGAAGCAGACCAGCCCCCCGCAAGGGAGACACATTCCTCACACCACCACTACCATCACCATCACCACCACCACCACCACCACCACCATCGCCCACCTCCCGATTCCCAGGGGCACCAAGGGCAGCAGCACCGTTCCCACCTGCTCCTCCTCCCAGCCCTCTCCCTTGCACACGGTTCTGGGTCTGATAATGATGGTGGTTGTGATTCTCATTATGGTGATGGTCCTGATGCTGCTGCTGGTGCTGATGTTCCAGCCCCCTTCCTTCTCCTCCTCCTGCTCCTGCTGCTCCTGCTGCACCAGCTGCTCCTGCTGCCCCCCATCCTCCCCCACCCATCCCCAACAGGCCTATTCTCTCTCCAAGATTCCGAAGCTGGAACCCATCACCCAGCAACCCACCCAAACCACCACCCCCACCACCACCTGCGCCTCCACCAACACCGCCTCCATCTGCACCATCACCATCACCACCAGCACCACCAGCACCACCACCCCCCACAACCCCTCCCTCTCCCCGTCCTCCACCCTCCCTCCTTCCCCCACCGCCCTCCCTCCCTTCCCCTCTCTCCCCTCCTCTCCCCACCCCACCCCGACTCCTCTCCTGCGTAATCACCAGCGTAGGCCTCTGCTCCTGCAACACACTCAGCGAATGCGCCGAAACCGCCGGACACCGCCTCACCTTCAGCCTCTGCAGGCTCGGGCACCCGTTCGCGAGCGCGTAAATCCCGAGGTCGGTAACCTTGTTACAGGCTTTCACGCAGAGGCGGCGCAGGTTGGAGCAGGAGTAGGCGAGGGTGGCAAGCTCAGGGTCGCCCATGTTGTGGCCTGAGCAGAGCGTGAGGCGCTCTAAGGAAGGGCAGTTGGAAGCTAGCAGTTGAAGAGAGGAGACGGTGCAGGCATGGGATACCAGCAGCAACTCCTGAGTGGGGAGAACGGGGTGGGGGGAGGGAAGATACAAGGGACTCGAGGAGAGCGTAAGGAGAGGGCAAAAACGCAGTTGGAGGCGAGGAGCTGGAGAGAGGAGACAGTGCATGCATGCGATACCAGCAGCAACTCCTGTGGGTAGGAGAGAAGGCAGACAGGGAGAAAAGAGGGAAGGAGGGGGGTGGGGTGGGGAAGGGAAGAACAAGGAGAGTGGAGGGAAGAGGAGGGAAAGGTGAGACACAGATGCAGGCGCAGGTTGGAGCAGGAGGGGTGTCTCTCAAAGACAGCCTCTTCAGGCTGCTACAGCAGGCTGCTACAGCAGGCTGCTACAGCAAGCTGCTACAGCGGGCTGCTACAGCAGGCTGCTACAGCAGGCTGCTACAGCCAACATTCCTAGTGGAACCGCCATCACTCCACCAACCCACCTGTAGTTGCCAGCAGTGCCTGGCGATCGCTGACAGCCCTGGGTCTCCCAGGTGCCCTGGCGCCCACCCCTCCACATGCAGCCTCTTCAGCCCCTCTAGCTCGCACCTCCACTGTTGCTACAGTTCATTGCTACAGCCTTTTTCTGCAGCCGCCACACCTAGCCACCATTACCCACCTGTAGCTGCCGGCAGTGTCTGGCGATCGCAGACAGCCCCGGGTCTCCCAGATGCCCCGGCGCCCACCCCTCCACATGCAGCCTCTTTAGCCCGCTACAGCCGGCCGCTACAGCCGCCATGCCTGCATCTGTGCACTCTGGAGTGCGCACCACCACCAGCGCCTCTAGCTTGGGGCATTTCCCGATGCACTGCAGCCCCTTGTCCGTTATCTGCACCCTCTCCACGTATATCTGTGGGGGGCGCAGGGAAGGGGACAGGCGGACAAGGGGTGAGAGTTGCTACAGCCGGCTGCTACAGCTGCCATGCCGGCGTCGGTGCACTATGGCGTTCGCACCACCACCAGCGCCTCTATTTAACTAAGGGAAAGGATTGAGGGGGTAGACTTTCACTCGGAAGATCGCGTGCACTTGCGAGCAACTTTAGATCTCTCCACATAGAAACCGCAAAGCATGTGGATAATTCTTGGGCACCTCGAAATCTGCCTGGACAAAGAAAGGACCACTAGGAAACCTGATACCATCTGATTCACCTGAAAATTCACCTGAGGCTCACCTGAGACAGCTCCGGAGTGAGCTTTTCTCCCAGAGAGCTTCCGAGCACCTGGTCCCAGTGCCCCGCATTCCGTGCCAAAATTAGGGTTTCTAGCCTTGACGTGGCCTGCAGCAGCAGAACAGCAACGCGACAGAAGGAAAGAAAGGAGAGTGCGTGAAATTGGCCACTTAGCAGCACACCAGTTGATCCCAGTGCCCTATGCTCCGTTACAGGATCAGGGCTCGATGTGGGGAGGAGGAGGAGGAGGAGGAGGAGGAGGAGGAGGAGGAGGAGGAGGAGGAGGAGGAGGAGGAGGAGGAGGAGGAGGAGCAGCAGCAGCAGCAGCAGCAGCAGCAGCAACGCTCACCTGCAGCAGCGGCACCCAGATGTGCGACTGGCGCTGGTCCTTAAGGCAGAGGCGCTTCAGAGAGAGGTTGGCCGGGGGTGAGAGCGAGTCCGACACGTGTGGGATCTGCGTGACGCGGTCTTTAGGCAATGAGGGATGGAGGCTGGAAGAAGGGGGAATGGGGGAAGGGGGTGGAGGCAATGTGAGCATCCATACGAGAACAGGTGCCTCAGAGAGAGGTTGGGCGGAGGAGAGAGCGAGTCCGCCACATGCGAGATGGGCGTGACGCAGTCTTTAGGCAATAAGGGGTGGAGGCTGGAAGAAGGGGGAATGGGGGAAAGGGGTGGAGGCAATGTGAGCATCCATACGAGCACAGGTGCTTCAGAGAGAGGTTGGGCGGAGGAGAGAGCGAGTCTGACACATGCGGGATGGGGGTGACGCGGTCTTTAGGCAATGAGGGGTGGAGGCTGGGGGATGGGGAGAGAGGGGAGGTTGGAGGGGGGGGGGAGAGGGGAATGAGATGGGGGAATGTTCAAGGTGAGCGAGATGCTGGCCAGGGGTGAGAGCGAGTCAGACACATGCGAGTCTGTTTTTGGAGAATTCTAAAAAAAACAGATATGCTGGCTGGGAGTGAGAGCGAGTCCGACACATGTGGGATGGGCGTGACGCGGGATGGGTGTGATGGGGTGGAGGCTGGGGGAGGGGGAGGGGGGAAGGGAAGGAAGGGAAGGAAGAGGAGGAAGGGAAGGGGGCGGACGTGCAGTAATGCACAATTGAGCATACATAGGTGCAGAGGATCACACGAGAACCTCCAAAGTCGAGTCCCTAGAGGATTTTGACTCCACCACACATCCCCACAGTGCATACCTTCGTTTCACGGTCAAGTCCTCAAGATGGACGCAGCCGTTCAGCAGAGCACTGACTGAGCCCCTTCAGCCCAAATCGGAAGTTTCCAACCTCACACGCAAAGCTGACTGACCCAGTGCCCTAGAGAATCCTCCCAGTCTTCTACCCATCCGCACAGTGCATACCTTCTCTTCACGGTTAAGTCCTCAAGATGGATGCAGCCGTTCAGCAGGGCGTTGAGCCCCCTCAGCTCCCACACGAGAAGCTGACTCAAAAATCAAGACCTTAAGAGGATTTTGAATCATCCATCTCAGCGATTCGTGAATGCATACCTTCTCTTCACGGTTAAGTCCTCAAGATGGATGCAGCCGTTCAGCAGGGCGTTGAGCCCCCTCAGCCCGAACCCACAGCTCCCACACGAGAACTTCCGAAGCTCCGGACAGGCCCGGGCGAACCTCTCCATGCCATCGTCCGTGATCTGAAGGTGTTGAGAGGAACAGAGAGGGGTCCAAAGGAGGCTGAGAGGGGTGCAAACCGGTGGTACAAGTTCAGTGGCGCACTAATACGGTAAACAGGACTGACAAATCTCTCCACGCGAAGGCACCAAGCCAATCTCTCCCTACAGTCGCCTCAACCTTTCCCCACGTTCCCCATACGAACCTGTCGGCCGTTTTTAAGTGAAAGTTTTCTCGGATAAACGCACTGCCGGGCGATGGTATCCAACGACGCGTCATCAATGCTCAGCACAGTGCGCTCGCATTTCAGCACCAGCTTCTGCCTTGCTCTTCAAACATAATCCTACATTCCATCCCACAGCCTCTCCCCATACGCACCTGTCGGCAATTTTTTAGCTTTAGCTTTCTCAGGTAAAGGCACTGCCTGGCGATGGTATCCAGGGACGCGTCCCACCCTTTCAATTCTGAGCACGTTGCGCTCGAATTTCAGCACCAGCTTTCACCCTCGCCCTCCCACATGCTCCCACTCTTCTCCGCTCTCTCTCCCCACACTCTCTCCCATCCCTCTCACCTGTCGGCAGTTCTTAAGCTTCAGCTTTCTCAGATAAACGCACTGCCGGGCGATCGTGTCCAACGACGCGTCGTCGATACTCATAACATTACGCTCGCATTTCAGCACCAGCTTCTGCACGCCCGTGAACCGCGTGAACAGGCTCGCGAGGTCCGGCGCCGCTTCCAGCGTCGCGCGCAGCGACATGCTTGGCCTCGTTTCAGCGTCTAGCCTGTGAATTGAAACGTGAGGAGCGAGGAAAGGGGGAGGGCAGGAGCATCTGAGCATTTGAACACGAAATTCTGCACGCCCCTGAACCGCGTGGACAGGCTCGCCAGGTCTGGCGCGGGCAGACAGGCTCTGTACGCCCAAGGCTCGCCAGGTCTGGCGCGGCCTGTAGCGTCGCGCGCAGCGACATGCCTGGCCGCGTTTCCGCGTCCAACCTGACGAGTGAAAAGCAAGGAACGAGGGAACGAGGGGAGCCATCTGAGCATTTGAGCACGAAATCCTGCACGCCCCTGAACCTAATGAACAGACTCGCGAGGTCTGGCGCGGCCTCAAGCGTTGCTCGCAGCGACATGCTAGGTCGCGTATCGGCGGGCTGCCTGCAAGGACACGTATGGAACGCGAGACGAGGGAACAAACGCGGGAGGTTGGGCGCTTAAGCAGCTTGTGAAAGAAACGGACGGAAAGAGAGGGAAGGAAAGGAAAAGCAGGTCGCGAGAACTTCATCGTTCTTAACATTCTTAACGTACACGATATAGCATCCCGCTAGACAAGGCATCAGAAAAGCAAAACTATATTATAACGTACGCCATGAATACGGAAGAAAAGGTTCCGACAATATTAACCTCAGGGTATGCCGCTTGAGCTTCTGAATCAACGAGAGAGTACTTGACTCGAGTGAATGATTGCCACGCACATGGCTCGCGTGCGTATTTGAAGGCATCATAAGCCGCCAACGCACAAGGAACAGCAACGGCGAGAGGGACGCACACGGAAACCAAGTCCTCGCCAAGCGTGAGAATGCGAAGAGCCTGAGATACTTCTGAGCATCTCCAACCCTTTAAAGGACGCTATGGAACCAAAAAACATGATTCCCTTGCGTGAACACGTGAACGAAGCAAGAGCGACAATAACGGGCAAGAAGGGTTGGATTTACTTACATGAACCACCGCCTGCACACCAGGGAGCATCTGGCAAGATCCGACGTTCCGAGCTTCCGGAACACGTGCACGAGGCAATCGTCGGGAAGGTTCGCGGTGAGATCCTCCGCCGTCGTCGCGAGCTGCGGGCGACTGTGCAGGCGCTGCTGCGTCACCTCGTCGTCGCTCATCGATCCGTCCATTTCGCCGGACGAATTCGACCTCGCGTCGTCATCGTCCGCCGAGAAAACGTGCGACGCGGTTGACGTCGACATGACTGAAACCGTCAACGATGACGGAACTATACGGAATGGTCGATAAGAAGAACGGAGCGCCGGAGGCTAGGTTAACGTAGTACACGACAATAAAATAGGATGACGCGAGCGGAAGAGCATACTAACTAGGTACGCTCCGGTCGGACCTCCATAAATGAGGTAGCAGCGAAGCCTAGCAACACAAAGCAAAACCAGCTGAAAACATCCGAAAGAAGGTAACACGCTATTCCACAAAGCGGGTTAGACCAAAACAGGAATAGCTATCAATCCTTGGGGCCAACGGACGGCAGAAACGTTATCAGCAGAGTCGAAAGCAGCAGTGTCATACTGTACCAAAACCTAACAAGACGGGAGCTACCAGTATGCTGCACATGCAATGCAATGCAAGACCAAACCGAGGCAGGGACGATGGTGGGTGGATGGGTGGAGGCATGCAACGCTGGAGGGTTGGAGGTTGGTTGGTTAGGAGTGGAGCGGGGTGGAGAGGTTGGGTGGAGTGGGAGAGAAAGGGAGGGAGGGATGGATGGGAGGAGGGGAGGAACAAGAAGCAGGGGCACATCGTTCGTAGGGCACGAGGTGGGTGGGAGGAAATGCCGCGCGCATGGCGGGACTTCCGCTCCGCGGATGCTGAGAGGGATTGCCGAGCTAGCAAGGGAACGGCGGAAGGGGGGTCCAGGGGAGGGTGTCTGCGCTCGTGTCGCGGTCACGCGGAACTTCCACTCCATGTCGAAATTGAATGCGAGGCCGCGCCGAAAGGGTAGGTCTGCTCTGCGAGGGAGTGACACTGGCAGTCCCGCGATAACTTTTGAACCTGCGGGTAACAGAGTGACAGGCAGAGGGAGTGGAAGTGAAGACACAGGTCTTCTGAATCTGCCTGGCGAAGAATGCATTCGTCTTCCTAGTCATTTATTTCGGCATGTTCGCACGTATACTAGTGTCAAATTGTCTAGCAGAAACTGTGGCTTTTGTTCCTCCAAACAGATGCCATATCGGGGACAATTTCTATGTCGAATGCACCACAGGAATCTGTTGGCAGCACTCGAGCATCACACGTCACTTGGGCCATTCGACACGCTGGCTTGCACCCCTCTACAGTATCCTTCCAGTAACTGCACCTGATGCCATGTGAAAATGAAAAAAGGAAAATATGTCAATGGTAACTTACATGGGGAACTATAACGCGTACGGTAACGATTTCAACGCGTTTGGTAACTCGCTTAACGCGTTTGGTAAGTCGCTTAACACGTTTGGTAACTCGCTTAAAGGACACATCCAGAATTACCGAGTCGGCCCCAAAACTGTCACCACTTTCACGTGATTGGTCGAAAGTTTTGCGTGTGTTTTTGACGCGATTGGTTCTCGATTTTTCCACCGAACCTCCTTCTGGGGTTTTCCGAACCTACAAATTTTTCGTTGACTTCGTTGTGTAATTCGGGGTGTGGCCTTTAACGCATTTGGCAACTCTACACTAGCAGCCCATCACGCGAATGGTAACTACATGAAATTCCCGCCGAAATTGAGCCTGATTCTGGTTTTTCCCGCTCGCGTCAGAATAAATTGACGAATCGTGAAGTAGAAACGTTTGACACACTCTCCGAGATTCTGACACAATTTCCGAAATTCTGACAAACTTTCCGAAATCCTGACACACTTTCCGATTTTCCAAATATTTGCAAAAGCGTAAGCGTTGTGAAAACAGCTGTTCAAACATTAATAATGTTTTGGCGCTTTTTCCGCCAACGTTTTGTACTTTATTCTATCGTGCAGCCGGGGCAAACAAATCTATATCCCTTTCAGATGGCAAATAAATTTGAGAGCAACAACCATAAATTTGAGAGCGACAACCCTAAACTTCTTGAAACCGGGCGTTTATGGATATTAAAAAAAATGAAAGATGAAATTTTAAAAAGGTTTACTTTTCCCACATTCAAAAATTATCCAACGTTGCAGTATTTTTTTAAGGTGAAATTCCCAATGTCATTTCGGGAATTTTTTTTATCCTTTTGCAAGTCCGCAATCATGCTATCAAAATATGATTTTGTCCATTCTTTTACGAGTTACCTATATATATATAATGGCTCTAAAACTTTTTGGTCCATGTTATTAAAACAAACGGGGTCCTTTAAATTCGCGGCGGGACTTGTTCATAGAAGATATTAATGTCAGAATGAAGAATGGATGATGCATTGATGTTGGTTGGGGTACATATAGCTAACCCTAAGTTTTGTACCCCCTAAGACAAACCTCACTATAGGCTACAACATTTGACACACCCCCATAGCCTAAGTGAGGGGTGTCTAGCAGAACCAAACGAGTACGGTCACAAGACCAGTCCAAGAAACGAAGCTCAGGGTGGATCACAACGTCACCACACAGTCTGAGCACAAACAACAGTGGCCACAAGGCCAGTCCAAGAAGTAACAGAGGTATATAGAAAGCAAAGTAAACAGTACACTCAAGTCTAAGCAACACGAGAACCAGTGTCAACAAGGCCTAACTGCACACAGCACCTCTGGTGGTCACAAGGCGGAAGCGCCTTGGTGAAGATGTCTGCAGTGTTGGCCTCGGACTCCACAAACTCAAAGCGAGCCTGTCCACGCCTCTGCAACTCTCGCAGAAGAAAGTACCTGACGTGAATGTGCTTCACTCTGCTCTCCAGTCGTGGCTCTCGACAAAGGAGAATAGACGCCTTGTTGTCAGTGAACAAGGTCGGTGCAGAGCTCGGCCGCTCACCAAGGTCGGTGAGCAAGAAGGTCAACCAACGCAGCTCCTGTGCCGCCATGGCACCAGCGTAGATCTCAGCCTCAGCTGTAGAGGTCGAGACCGAAGAGGAGCGCGTGGACCGCCAGGAAACAGCTCCAGAACCTAGGCTGAAACAGTACCCCTGAGTAGACCTGTGAGTCTCAGCGTCGTCAGCGTAAGAGGAGTCACAGTGACCAGTAAGTACGACAGACTGCTGCCCTCCAAGAACTAGCCCCACGCCTGACGTCGTCGCTAGGTACTTCGCCACCCTCACAGCTGCTGTCCAGTGAACAGGACGGTGTCTCCCTGGCGCAACAAAGCGCGCAAGAACGCTGAGAGGGAAGGCGAGGTCCGGGCGAGTACAAGTCATCAGGTACATGAGGCAACCCACAAGCTCTGCGTAGGGACCACTAGGCTCGAACGGCTCGTCAGGAAAGGGTCCAGTGAGTCTGTGGTCAACAGCAAGAGGTGTGCGCTGTACTGTGGAGTGCTGAAGCCCGAACCGCTGAAGGACCTGCTGCACCATGTGCGACTGTGAAAGTGTAATGGTGCGAGCAGCTCTGTCCCTGGTGATCTGCAGGCCAAGGTAGTGGCGCAGCTCACCAAGATCAGTGCAGGTGTGTCTCTTCTGCAGTTCGGACTTCACGTGTGCCAAAGCAACCCTGTCAGGGGTGGCGAAAACAAGGTCGTCAACGTAGACCAGAACAAAGAAAGGTGTGGGGCCACGACGAACGAACAGCGACGGGTCAGCAGAAGACGGCTGGAACCCAAGGTCAGACAGGGTAGAACGCAGGGTGTCGTGCCACTCACGAGGAGCCTGACGAAGACCGTAAACCGGTCGCCTCAGCCTCCACTGGGTCCCAGGAGGGAAAGAGCCAGTGAAGGCAGAGGGACGACGCAACCAGACCTCCTCGTGAAGACTGCCCTGAAGGAAAGCAGTAGAGAAGTCGAGAGAGTGTAACTCGTAGTCTCTCTGTGCTGCTACGTGTAGTAACACCCGAAGAGTGGTCATCTTCGGGGTGGGCGCGAAGGTCTGAAAGAAGTCAACTCCCTCGCGCTGACTGAAACCTCTAGCCACGTAGCGCGCCTTGAAGACCGGAGGAGATCCCGGTGGCCGCTTCACCCTGTAGATCCACATGCCGTCGACTACGTTCGCCCCCGGAGGGGGAACCTCATCGACGTAGGTGCCTGTGGATCTGTAGGAGGCCATCTCTGCGTCCATGGCAGCTCTCCACTGAGAGGCCCAAGGCCCTGACACTGCCTCAGCGTAAGTGCGAGGAGTCGGAATGTCAAGGGCGTCGGGGTCACCCTCAGGGGCGAGGAGCATGGCACAGAGATGAGGGGAAGCGGCCGCCAGGAACTCTAGCTCAAACTGCCTGTCCTCTAGGGCGTCACAGCCAAGGGCAGACACACCCCCGACGGCCAGAGGACTGGAAGGAGGAGCAGCCACAAGAGCGGTGGCGAAGTCAAGGCGGCGGGTAGAGGCAAAGTCAGTGACTGCGGCAGTAAGAGCGGACACAGAGGACACAGAGGCACGAGGGTGAGTAACAAGCGAGGCGAGAACACGAGAGAGAAGAGGACGGTACGTGCGGTAGTAGTCAGTGACAGGAGTAGGGAGCGACGCAGTGAGAGCCGACTCAGGAGGAGACGGAAGCACAGACGGAGACGGACGAGGTGGACTAGAACGAAGTAAGGCAGTACGAAGGTCAGTGAAGGGAACAGGAGACGAGGGACGAGCACGAGGGGAGCGACGAGAGGCCCAAGTCTGAGAAGGAGGAGGGGACAACGAAGACTGAGAACGAGGGAAAACAGCGGGAGAGGGGTCAGGAGGAGGAAGCGGAGGACCAGAGACGGGAGGAGAGGGGGAGGAGGAAGGAGAGGGAGAGGGGAGACCAAGGGTCCGAAGACCCGAGACAGGAGGAGGAGACGGCAACTGCTGCTGCTGCGGCTGCTGCGGCTGCTGCGGCTGCTGCTGCTCCAGCGGCTGCTGCCCCTGCTGCTGTCGCTCCTGCTCCTCGAGCCGCTGCAACTCTCTCTCCTCTCTCTCCAACTCCAGCTGCTCCTCACGAGCACGGCGAACACGAGCCTGGAACCTGGTCGGGTAGGGGTGGGGGGAAGGAGTAGTGTCCGGGGCAGCGGCAGCCCCAGAGTCGACCTCCGAAGCACCAAGCACACCACCCCCAGAGGCAGCACCAACACCAGCTCCAGACCCAGGCTCTCCAGAAACCGAAGGAACACCCTCACCCCCAGACGCAGCACCCCCAGACTCCGCACCAGCACCCCCAGACTCCGCACGACCAGTACCAGCCCCCGGAAGAGAAGAGTCCTCTGCAACCCGCGGCTCAGCTCCAACTCCAGCACCCCCAGAACCAGAGACCTGTACAGGGACAGTCGCAGGACCAACCTCCCGAGAGGGAGCACCTACAGGAGGCGGTGAGGAAGACTGTGGGGAGGGAGGCTGTACAGGGGGGGCTACCGAAGGGGGAGGGCTAGCCTGAGACACACCAGACGGGGCTGGACCAGGGGGGGGAGGCTGTACCGGGGGAGCAGGCGGGGGAGCGGCTGTCAGGAAGAGGGGGGGAGGAGGAACTGGGAGACCTCGACTGGGGTACCTGACGTAGTAGGGGGTGGACTCCTCGAAACGGACGTCACGGGAGTCAAAGAACCGGTGAGAGGGGAGTCAGGGGTGGCACGCAGCCTACCCTCGACGCAAGGACCGCACGGTGGTGCAAGGGACGGCGGCAGCGACGGCAAGACACGCGGGAGACCTAAGACCAGACGCTGACTAGACATAGCACGCAGACGTGGAAGAGAAGGGTGTCCCATCCGGTGGTGCCACAGAACGGTGGGGTGGGCAAGCGACCGACAGGAGCAAGACGCAGCGACTGGACTGGACGCGACAACCTGAGGGGACGGAACCACCTGGTGAGACGCAGGGAGGAGACTAGGGGGAGGGACAGGAACTGGGAGGAGTGGCTGCTGCGACGGCGGCCGCTGTGGCTGCGGCTGCGGCTGCTGCCGCTGCTGCTGCTGCGGCTGCTGCTGCTGCTGCTGCTGCGGCTGCTGCTGCAGTCGCTGCTGAGCGCGCGGGCCAGTGTGAAGAGTGTAGAGACCGGAGCCCGGCTCAGCAGCAAAAGTGGCGAGGGGCTGGTAAGAGTCCCCGTCAACACACACCGCAGTCTCTCCAGAAGGCTCAAACCACACACCCACGTGCTGACTCACGAGGGGTCGCACGCCCACCAAGTTCCGGGAGAACGAGGGGACGTGAAACCCAGTGAGAGACCCAGAAGGAGCAGCCGGACACGGCAAGGTGGTAGTGTGACGCGCGGTGACTGGTCCCGAAGTGGGATCAGCCAGCGCCACAGAAACAGGCGCAGGAAGAGGCGTAAGTGTCGTGCTGTCACGAAAGAAGCAGTGAGAGGCTCCAGAGTCCAGCGTGAACGACAGCGAACCGTCCTCTGAGGTAGCCGCTGGACTAGAGTCTACACAAGAACCTACACTAGCAACAGGCAACTGAGCAAGGCTAGCACCTAAGCTAACAACACCAGAGTAAGCAGAGTCAGAAACACTAGAGTCAACAACAGCATACATAGCATGGGGAGTACCAATCAGATCAACTAACTGCTCAGCAGACATGCCCCACAGAGCGGAGCCGTAGCGCTGAACAAGAGGCAGCCAGTCAGGGGCAGGAGCACCAACCCCGTAGACCAAACGAACCGTGTCAGTGAGCTGAGCAAAGCACTGACCAGGGGGGTGAAACCGGCCACAAGGGTGGCCACGACGAGGGCCTGTCAGAACCTGGTAGGTGCAGGGAGTGTAAGCAGCACCACGCTGGGTCTGACGCAGCCCCGACCCTGGAGCCAGCTGCTGCCGCTGCTGCTGCTGAGGCTGCTGGGAGGAGAGGGGCTGCTGGTGCTGCAGAAGCTGCTGCTGACGCTGAGCCTGGTACCACGCCGCTGCTCCACCAACCGGGGCAGGAAGTACAGGAGGCGACTGACGAACTCGGGCGTCGCCACCACTAGCAGGCGCAGTGGAGTCACCAGTCACTGCACGAGGCGCCTCTCCAGGCCCTGAACCTCCACCGCCGCCAGGCGCAACGCCACCTCCACTACCTCCGCCTCCACCTCCACTACCACCACCAGAACCGCCTTTCTTGCCACTCCTACCGCGGGACCGCGACGCAGTCGTAACAGCAGCTGCAGTCGCGTCAGTAGCGGCAGTGGCAAGTGAGGCAGTAAAGGTGGGTAACTGCGGGACTGTGCACCCGTGGAAGAGTGGGGGGGGCACAGCACCAGAGGCAGCGGCTACCGAGCGAAGGTTGCTCTCGACGTCCTTGAGTGTAGACTCAAGGACATCGACGGTGAGCTCACTAGGGTGCTTCAGCAGAAGCGCGTCGCGAACGGAGGCAAGGCGGTCAGGGAGGCTAGTGGCGATGAAATAGATAGTAATCGCCATAGGGGGAGGAAGCAGTGCAAGCTGTGCCTCAGTGCAAGCAGCGCGGTAACTAGCGTCGAGCGAGCGGAGGTGAGCGATCAAGTCAGCAGAGCGCTCAAACGAGGCGAGATCAGGAAACAGGAACGGGAGGAAAAGACGGCCAAGAGAGACAGTAGCGGGAGTAGAGTAGCGGGCCTTAATCGCAGTGAGGTACGCAGCAGCGGTGCGAACCTGAGTGAAGTGGACCTCCTCTGACTCAGGGAGGAGGCTGCTGAGTGCGATGCAGGCCGCAGCGTCACGCGACGTCCAAGCCGTCCTGTCAGCGCGCTGACGGGCAAAGCGAGCCGTAGCAGCATCGTCAGGGGCAGGACCTAAAGCGGCAGGCTCGGGGGGCTCGGGGAGGTCACCAGTAGCGTGCGACCAGAGGGTCTCGCCCCCCTGGACTTGACTCTCTAACAGACGGCGAGCGCGAAGAAGCCAGACGGAAAAGTCAAGAGGTCTACCGTCAGCGTCGAAACGAAGAACTCGCGGAGTCGCCATAGCGAGAACTAACGCGAACGAGCAGGCGAGTAACAGCAGGAGGTAAGAGGCAAATTAGGGTTCAGGTGGGGGGGGGGGGGGCAAATTAGGGTTCCGTCGCAGCGGAAGAACGGGCTAGGGCGACGGGCCAGGGCGTAGGGTCGACGGGACGGGGGAAAGGGCGGGCGCGATGCGACGGGGCAGGGCGACGCGACGGGGCAGGGCGACGCGACGGAGCAGAGGCGACGGGACGGGGAAGGGCGACGCGACGGGGCAGGGCGACGCGACGGGGCAGGGCGACGGGACGGGGAAGGGCGACGCGACGGGGCAGGGCGACGCGACGGGGCAGGGCGACGGGACGGGGCAGGGCGACGTGACGGGGGGAAAGGGCGCGACGCGACGGGGGGAAAGGGCGCGACGCGACGGGGGGAAAGAGCGCGACGCGACGGGGGGAAAAGGGCGCGACTCGACTGGGGGGAAAGGGCGCGACGCGACGGGGGGAAAGGGACGCGACGAGGGGGAAAGGGCGGGCAGGACGCGACGCTAGGAGTGGCGCTAGGCGCGGCACTACGCGCGGTAACAACGGAACCGGGACGAATGAGAGCTAGGATCAGGCTCGGGAGGCTCGAACGGAGAACGGAGGAACGGGATCCCACAGGATCCTAACCTAACTGATACCATGTCAGAATGAAGAATGGATGATGCATTGATGTTGGTTGGGGTACATATAGCTAACCCTAAGTTTTGTACCCCCTAAGACAAACCTCACTATAGGCTACAACATTTGACAATTAATGTGCGTAAAAGTTCTCAAACTCGATAATTTTTTTTTTTTGTTTCGGTGGGAATTTCATGTAGTTACCATTCGCGTGATGGGCTGCTAGTGTAGAGTTACCAAATGCGTTAAGCGAGTTACCAAACGTGTCAAGTGACTTACCAAACGCGTTAAGCGAGTTACCAAACGCGTTGAAATCGTTATCGTACGCGTTATTGTTCCCCATGTAAGTTACCATTGACATACTTGCCCAAATGAAAACGGTTGTGTTTGTAATACATCTCACAATACATAGCCTTGTAAGATTGAATAGTATTCTAATTCTAAGCCAGTCAAAAGCCTGCAAAATCACTTGGAACGCTTCAGAAACTCAATCTCCTTGGCGATGCGCCCGAACCAGCCACCTGAGTCGCTCCCTTGACTGCTCTTTTTTTGCACCATCGCTTCAAGGTCACGATAACCTGGCCGATTCTCCACAGTCCCAATCATCTCATATGTTGGGAAAGAGCTATCCGATCCACTATCACTGTCACCAGACATGTAGACCTGATGAACAAAGAGTGCAAAATGATATGTCAGAACACATGGCAGTTTGTACCTGAAAAGGGAAAAGAAATCCAACCATACAAGATTGATAATTGTTGTGTACCTGCCAATCGCCCGGGAAGCACTTGACGATAGTGACGTCGTAGGAGCGAATGCGGTTGCGCTTCAGACTGTAGGCAGTAAGGAAGGTGTCTAGAAACTCTTCTGCCTGCTTGCGCTTGCTTCCAAATCCAAAATCTGAGACCACCTGCAAACAGGAATTTGCAAATTCACGGACAGCAGAATCAGCAGGGAAGGAGCTCAATTGGCAGGTCTACCATCACTCTCATACACAAGTGTGGGCAAATTCACAGAATATATTAACCTTGCAATGAGATAAAGGAATTTGTGTCTGTGTGCATTCCGAATGCTTGCACAAAAGGACAGGCCAACCCACCTGGCCTGGCTGCCACTGAGGATTCATAAGCAGCAGCGTGCGTCCAGGCTCACTATTGGCCAGCTCCATCACAGCTGGCAGGCGCTCGGCTGTTGGGAAGAGCACAAGTGCAACCTTCGGGTTACGGGTTGGGTTGAAGAGACACAAATGACCCACGAAATGGATGGAGTGGAAGGGATTTGAGGGGGGGGGGGGGGGGAGAAAGGGACTGTGGTGGTGGGGGGAGAGGTTGGAGGATCTGGGATGCAAAATGTAAAACCGGGTGAGGATAAGGGGATGAGCACATACTAGGGCTGCAATGAGAATGGGTCCAGCAGCATGCGAACAAGTTAACCCTCAGGCACTTCACAGTGAACCGTACCCCCCCACACTTCAGAAACCAGTTTTTTTTTTTTTTTTTTTTTTTTTTTTTTTTTTTTTGAGGCGCCTCAAAAGCCAGCTTCCTTGTTCTGAGGCGCCAGGAAACACCTACCGTCTTGCTCTCCCATGCCTCCGCTGCTTCATCCTCGTCTATGACAGAAAATACCACACCACATCACACCACCACACTCATCACACCACCACACTGTACCACACCACATCACACCACCACACTGTACCACACCACATCACACCACCACACTGTACCACACCACATCACACCACCACACTGTACCACACCACATCACACCACCACACTGTACCACACCACATCACACCACCACACTGTACCACACCACATCACACCACCACACTGTACCACACCACATCACACCACCACACTGTACCACACCACATCACACCACCACACTGTACCACACCACATCACACCACCACACTGTACCACACCACATCACACCACCACACTACCACACCACATCACACCACCACACTGTACCACACCACATCACACCACCACACTGTACCACACCACATCACACCACCACACTGTACCACACCACATCACACCACCACACTGTACCACACCACATCACACCACCACACTGTACCACACCACATCACACCACCACACTGCACCACACCACATCACACCACCACACTGCACCACACCACACCACCGCACTCGAAGCACTTACCGTTTTGCTCTCCCACGCCACCACTGCCTCATCCTCATCTATCACCCGCCGCGTGTACAACTCCCCACCGTCCACCAGCCCTGTCAGCAGCGATTCCACCAGAGGAATGGCCGCCTGCAGCTGCTGCTGAATGCCTCCCTGTGAGTTTATCAGGGGGAGTTCAGGCAAAGGCACTTTCGCATTAACAAGGGGAATGGCCCCCTAAAGCTGCTGCTGAATGCCTCCCTGTAAGATCATTAGGGGGGATTCAGGGAAAAGCCTTTATATCAAGAACGGAGATGTGAAGCGAGAAGGCTTGGAATTGTAAGGCTAGGATTTGATTGTGACTCATGGGCCAGTCTGTAGGGGGTTATAGGAGCAAACGAGCAGCAAGAGCAGGTCCATCATCTACAGGTTGATTCTTTCATAAAAATCACAAAAACACCCTGCACAAGTCTTTGAATTCTCAAGACCAATCAGAAATCTGACGGTGATTTACTGGCCAGTCGTCCAGGAGTGAAGGGCCGATGAGCGGCAAGAGCAGGTCCAGCATCAAGCGTTGATGGCCTGCTTCCATCGCCCTCCTCACTGCTCCTCGAGCCTGAAAGCCAAGATTGAAAAGATAAGCAAGTCGCAGGTGATTTATACCATTCACTACACCATTCATTACACCATTCATTTTTCAATGGTGCTAACGAGCAGCACAACTGCGTTGGCAACAGATAAAACTGTTGGTACAGAGATAATTGCGACCCGACTAGGATACTTGCAGTGAATCTGAGGAACCTGCTGACCCTCTCAGCAACAGGTACTGCACCCCATTCAAGGAAAGAACTACACAGAAGTTTACGCACCTGCTGAACGCTCTCATCAACGGAATCGGGAACGGAGACTCGTCGCGATGGACGAGGCACCTGAAAGGGTACACGTCAAGATCGAGGCAAAGCATTCAGACGGTTCGAACGACGCTTGATCGGTAACTACCGGTAACATACTTATAAGATAAACGGCATTGCTGCTGTTGCTAACCATGCGTACGAATCTCTTGCCTGTGGTGACTCGTCTTCGGCTGACGCAGCTGAGCCATCGAAGGAGGCAGCTCGGCAGGCGTGCAATTCTAGCCGAGCGTTTGACCTCCTCGTAACTTGCCTTTTCTCGTGAACCTTGCCGACAAATGCTGAAGTTCCGAAACTAGCAGCGAGGCGGGAAACGGATGCTCGTGATGCTGCTTGTCTTGAATTGCGGCATCGCAAAGCGTGCTGCGGTGCGGGATGGAGAGCTCGATTACCGCAGTGGAGCAGGGAATCCATCTTGCAAGCAATAGGAGATAGTGAATTGTGTTAGAACCGCAGCAGATTGGACAGAAATGTCAAGGTAGGCCGCGAATTTCATTGAAGTATACTGAGGGGGGAGAAGGGCCCAGTCACACACGCGCTAGATTCGTGAACCAGCAGTCAACCCATCTAAACCGTACATAAACCGACACAGCCCATTTGACAAGGAAGCCAGTTTGTTGGAAATGCCGAGCCACGTGGAGGCCTCACAGCACGCTAGACGGCTGTGACGAATATGTCAACGATACCTGTAGTCCGTTTATACGAGCGTCAATATTACAACAGTGTACTCAAGGATATTCCAACGGTATTTACGCATCGTTGTGTATCGAGTACAGAGCTGCCCAGTCTGAGCTGGCACAAGCATGCGTGGCACACTCAAAGAACCACTTATCGGCCTCATCCACATCGGATCAACTTACTATCGGACCTGGCATTTCCTGCCTATGATTTGGCAAGAAATTAGCACGTGCGAAAAAACAACCCCCCGGACCTTCGCGTCAGGCTCGTCAAGGCCCAAAGCTAAGTCAGACCTCCCCAGCTTACCGAACCAGGACCCCCACAAGCTCCCCTTGGCCTTGAGTACTCCATGCATGCTAGCTTTTCACATAGCTTCAATTTTCTCTGCTCCGTTGAAGCTCAGGACGCGTCACAAGTAGAACATCGATCCTGCCTAGAATCGGTGTTTAGGTGGTTACACATTTTCGTTTATTTTCGCTAACGTACAGTTTTCCCTTCTAAGTCAGGCGATCGATGTGCCCCTGTCACACATCGATCGTGCAATTTCGTCCACATCGGGCAATTTTGCCCCATGTTTTTACGATCGTGTCACTTGAAACTTCAAAGCAGTCGTGACACACCGATATGGCGATCGGTTTGACAGGTTCGGTGAACAACCCTGACCTCCCTCGATATTTTACTTGTGACGCGTCCTTACATTCAGCTCCCAGGAATTTGTCTGCCAGATCCCTGGTTTCGTGCAGACGAAGGCCAACACACATCACAAACAGGCAAAAGTGCCTGTGAAGCTGATCTTGGCAGGCTGTTGTTTCTTGGCTCTCCTGGAATTCTACTGGAGATACCAGTTCCGCGAGTTCCTCGTCTCCTGACGCTTAGCCTTGAACAATGGCTTCACTTCTCCGTGTTCTTGGCAGCCGAGCGGGAGTTTCGCTGAGGGTTCGATCAGCTGCTCCTTACAGATCGTTTACAAACACCACTAACCCAGCGGAGTCGTCAGAGGAGGAGCAGCTGCCTTTCGAGCAAGCGACAATCGCAGACCTTCTGAGGGCTCGAGGAGCCGGCAATGACGGCTCGTGGCTGTGGTGCACAACGGACGACACCGTGTTCGATGCAGTGAAATCGGTGAGGGTTCTCCTGCTTCGTCGTTTTCTTACCGTTCTGACGTGTTTTCGGTGGAAATCGCTAGCTCTACGCTATTGTTTCAATGATGCCATGGTGGTTATGGTCGGTGCGCCACGACGTCGGTGCGCCACATCGTCGGTGCGCTACAACGTCGGTGCGCCACTGATGGCTTTTTGTGGTTGTGGTTGCAGATGACAAGCCACAACGTCGGTGCGCTTTTGGTGATGAGGCCAGACACGAGCGGGACGATTGCGGGAATTGTTACTGAAAGAGGTGCGCACGCGCGGCGTGTTTACGTACCTCTCTGGCTACTAGCTCATTGTTCTGACATGGACTCATCTTTCTGGATTTACTTCACAGATTACCTCAGAAAAATCATCGTACAGGGTCGGTCCTCCAAGACCACGAAAGTTGGCGACATCATGACTGACGAGGTACGTGAACTGAAGCGTGAAAATGAGTGGTATATTACCAGAAATCCTAGAAAGAAATGACGTAACCTTCCGTTTGTCATGACATTGCAGAATAAGCTCATCACTCTCACGCCTGAGACAAGGCTGCTCAAGGCTATGGAGATCATGTCAGGTCAGTAAACCATGTTCCCTGTGCAAGTGCAAGAAACAGCTAACGAACGTATCTGATGCCTCAAGTTGAAAAAACATCAGTTTGCTGACATGAACGTTTTTGTTCTGCCTCTTCTGTTGTACAGACAAAAGAATTCGGCACATTCCCGTGGTCGAGGGACAGAAGATGAAGGGAATGCTGAGCATTGGTGACGTGGTTGCTGCTGTTGTGGAGGAGCATCGGGAGGAGGTGAAGCGGTTGAGTGAATATATCAAAGGTTCCTACTAAATCAGAGACTTGAAAGGCCCCCGTTCATCACCCTGCTTTATAGCTTCTTCAATGCAGAGCAGACCTCTTGAGCAGGCATTGGATTAGCTGGATTAGTGGACAAAAAGTCCCTTGTTAGCGAGATATATTGCTGGTGTGTCGTCAGTGCAAGATTGATGTACATAGCGCGAGTTGTGTTCGGATGATACTGGTATATTATTCCGAACGCTGGTACAACTGCCTGCAGCTATTGCTTATCTTGGCCTTTGGTTTGTATTGAGCGAGACTCTTCAGCATTTTACTTGACCTTCCATTTGACCATAACAAAGCTTCAGCTAATCAGCACTTCAGTTATCTACAATCACTGTAAACACAGAACCTAAAAGTAAATAACTGCATCTGCTCAGCATCTAGCTGGACTGGAGAAACTGGCTTTGTCATCAACCCAGGCCAGCATGCTTACACTGCTTTTGGAATCGGCTTATTGTCTTCCTAAGCAGCACTGGGTTGTTGGTAACAACGACGTCAACAGGCAACCCTAGGACTCTCCTCATTCCTGCCCTGTCATCCACTGTCCATACGTGCACCTCCTTGCCTCCCCTGCAGGAAGTGTAGTGCATGACAGTGAAAAATATTGAGAAATCGAACAAACCATTGGTTAATTCTGAAAAGACGCATCTACCTAAAGACAGATTCTGGAAGTCACTTCAATTCAAGACTATGTATCTTACCAGCAGCACACCCATTTGAAGCCAACAAACTTACTTATGGGCATCGTTGACGGTTTGTAGCGTAGCAAGGCTCTCTGCCAGTCCCACCACGTGTGATGACTCACGACGCAGTAACCCATTGACCACTCCAGTCTTGAAGTTCCTCCACACTATGTACCCAGTCTGCCTGTGCCACACACAAGGAAACACATGCATGCACATGGAGTGCAGAGACTATGGTAACTGCACAAGGTGCCTGTCAAGTTAACCCATTGGCCACTCCAGTCTTGAATTCCTCCACACTATGTACCCAGTCTGCCTGTGCCACATACAAACGAAGCACACGCATGCACATAGAGTGCAGATACTACGGTATGGTAACTGCACAAGGCGCCTGTCAAGACACCCCACTCACCACTCCAGTCTTGACATTTCACTTTCCCTGATTGCAGTTCATGTGAACGACCGAGAACTGCTAGCAGCAAAATGAGAAACGCACTAACATCCCAGATCAGCTCACCCTGATGGACGGCTGGATGCGCGACAAGTGGCGGATGAACTGATCCTCCTTGGACCACACAAGGCACTCGGCACACCCACCGACCCTTTCAAACTGCAATCAGTCTCAAAGAAACAACAAGTAGGAAAGGGGGAAGGTAATCAGCGAGAAGAAAAAAAGGAGTATTGAATTGCAGAGATTAAGTGAAGTCCAATGAATTTGGTATCTATCCTAAGTGGTTCTGTGCTAGCAAATGGAGTCTATCCAGCTTATTTACCACGTTCAAAAGCCGCTGTGCCATGTGCCTGTTCTCAGCGATCGCTGATGTGGCAATCTTGACGTCCACAGCGATGTGCTTCACTCTACCAATGAGAGCCTGCCACGTCATCCAGCATTTTCAGTGAATAGAAATAAACAAACAAGGAAAGAAGGGGTGGACAAGAATGTATTTACTCTTGAAGCGTTTCTGGAACCTTGACAATGACAGCAGATGGGAGGAGTGGAACGGGAAGAGGGAACGGGAGAAGGGGGGTCCGTGAGGAGGAGTGGGGGAAAAGGGAGGGGGAAGAGAGGGTGGGTGGGGGAGGGGGGAATGAGTCAAATGCTTAAAGAATTCGTACCTGTAGTGCCTGCTGCAGCGGAGAGGAGAGGTAGCAGAACACACAGGCAATAAGTTGAGGAAAGGAAACCGTACCTGTCCTGTAGTGCCTGCTGCAGCGTGAGAACAGGAACTTGCTGCGTATCAGGGTTGCGAGGAGATGTCGCGGGCCACAGAGGTGAAAGGTCGAGCTGGCGTGTTTGAGAGTAGAGCAAGTCAAATGCTCAAAGGAGTATGTACCTGTAGCGCCTGCTGCACTTTTGAGGCGCCTCAAAAGATGCTCAAAGGTCGAGCTGGCGTGTTTGAGAGTAGAGCAAGTCAGATGCTCAAAGGAGTGTGTACCTGTAGTGCCTGCTGCAGCGTGAGAACAGGAATTTGCTCCATTGCAGGGTCGCGAGGGGATGTCGCGGGCCACAAAGGCGATAAGTCAAGCTGGCGTATTTGAGAGTAAACCAGGGAGGGGACCCGCGCCGATGGGTCGTTGAGAAGAGACTGAACATCCCTGCAGGAGCAAGGTGAGAAAATGGGGGGCGAATCACAGTGGGCCAGAGAGGTGAGAGGTCCAGCTGGCAAATCTGAGAGTACACAAGGGAGGGGACACAAGGGACCCGCGCTGATGGGCCATTGAGGAGTCGAACTGCATCTCTCCCCGTTGAAGCATGGGGGGGGGGATGGAGGCAGAGGGCCAAAGAGACGAGACCATGAACACATTACACCATCCCCACCGCATTGTACCGGCACACACACCCGTCTCACTAACCTATCATGCAGTGCCACCAGGTGTCCATCAGCCGTGAGTGATGCTTCCAACTCCACCGCTTCTGCCCCTCATCACACCATCTACACCGCACTATACCGGGAGATACCCCTCTGACCTGTCATGCAGTGCCACCAGGTGCCCATCAGCTGTGAGCGAAGCATCCACCTCCACGGCATCTGCCCCGCCGCCACCACATGCCCTCGAACTGGCACCCTTGAAACCATCCCCACCGCATTTTACCAGCACATACACCCCTCCCCTCTCACCTGTCATGCAGTGCCACCAGGTGCCGCCGCCACATACCTCGACCCACCTTTGCAGTGCTGCTCGTACCGCTTGATAAACCTTTGCACCCCCGCCCTCTCACCTATTGTGCAGTGCCACCAAATGCCCATCAGCAGTCAACGAGGCGTGGCGTCCACCTCCACGCCCTCATACCCACCATACCATCCGCACCGCATTGTACCGGCACATACCAATCTCACCTATCGTGCAGTGCCACCAAATGCCCATCAGCAGTCAATGAGGCGTCCACCTCCACTGCATCTGCCCCCGCCGCCACCGCCCTCTCAAACGCTGCCAGCTGGCAAACGGGCAGGCAGAAAATAAGAACGAGATAAGAACAAACAACCCCCCAAAAAAAAAAAAACACAAAAAGGGAGACAGCGAAAGGGAATAGAGGGGTTACCGAGTTGGGAGGGGCGGAGGAAGAATCGCCCCCCTGCGCGCACACAAGCGGTAGGGAGGGGAGGAGAATGGGCGAAGGACAGAGGGAAAGAGAGGGGGGAGAGGAAGGGGAAAGGGTAGGGGAAACGGCTTACCGAGTTGGGAGGGGCGGAGGAAGAATCGCCCCCATGCGCGCACACAAGCGGCGGCCTTTGAATCAATCTCTTGCAGATCTCGTACTTGCGAATCGAATCTGCAGATTCCTCATCCTCTCCGCCATTCGCGGCTCGTTTGCCTGCTGCTCCCGCTCCTTCCTCTACTCCTGCTGACGTGGCATCCGTGGATCCAACAGATAAGAAATCCCCGTCATCGTAATCGTCATCCGCGTCAGCATCTAATAAAGGCGTATTTAAATTACTGTCTCCTCCATTAGCGCTGCTACTGCTGCCGCTGCTGCCGGTGCTACCAGAACCCTTATTCTCCGCTTGCCCTGCCTTCCCTGCATTTACGTTCGTCTCAGTCACTTTTTCCGACAGCGCTAAACGGTTTCCGTCTTCCGTTACCGACCACTGCTGGAGCTGCAGCCTCCAGAGCAGAATCAGGGAGCCGCCGAGCGAAAGCACTAGGAGGAAGAAGAATGCGTTGAAGCGTGTCGCACGGCTTGCGCGATACGAACGACCGCTGGCGATTGGCGTGCGACGCTGCTGGCGAGGGAGCGACGAGGGCGACTGGAAAAGTCGGCGCATCGCTTACGCTGGTCGTATCCTAGGTTACGTGCGTTCAGTTCAACCAGACGCGCCTCGAAACGTCCAGCTTTATGAATGCGCACGATATTCGTGATAGATCTATGAATTCTTTGGCTTTGTTTTTCCATTGAGAAAATTATGTCGTGTACTTGTTCGTGATATATATTTACCCATCTTTATCATCTGTATCTTCTGCTAGAGTGACATCCCGTAAAAGCAACGGATATCACGTTACGATTCAGGAAATTCGTAACCAATCAGATTCTCCTCCTCGATACTGGCCTGATTTCAGTTTTTCGTTACAAGCCGCGTGTTTCCCAAGGCTGATCACCAGGAATCCCCTCAACGCACCACGGTTGTGTTTGACCCCCAGACGACCAATCGTCAGCTTTTCCCACGTGAGCCTGCGGGTGCCCATTCGCAAACCTCCAATCTGTAGCATTCGGCAGACCGTCAACCTGGGAATTTGCTCTTCCAAAAGTTCTGAACCGAAGTTCACCAGACCAAAGCTCGCAAACGGGAGTGGAACACCCGAGAAAGGAAGCCGTGTTTCTCACGGTTGTGCTCCTGTTCTTTCCACTAGCTTCTTCTCTTCACTGAAGCAACTCAACACAACACAACACCACCACCACACAATCGCTTCCACCCAGCACGTCACTCCTTGGCTTCTTTATCCAGCACCACTACATCTCTCTCACTCTGCTTCTTCCGTCCCTTCTTTCTGCCAGGAACAAACCCATGGATATGTCATTCCCTATCTTATATCGCCTCTCGGTTGCTCCCCACATTCCAGCATGAGTTGCTTGCTTACACTCGCAGTCTCGGTAATAACTTAAAGTCGTTTGTCCACTAGTTTCCAAGCGTGAGTTGCTTGATGCTAACAACGTTGTCACGGTCTCTGTCTCGATTATGAAGTATATTTTTCGTCACGTGTCATTCTCTTAGAATCAGGGTACCAGAGTTTCTTCTTCACATTTACAGCCACGTGTCATTTCTGAAGAAGCTATGGATGATGAATCTAGAAGCATCAGTTCCAATGAGAGCTTCGGGTCAGGAAGCCACGTCAGCAGTAAAAAGGGAGGCATCGTTATCAAGAATCGTTTCAAGGGAAAGGTAGGCAATATGTAAAAAAAGAAAAGGGTAACTGATTATAATATTTACCCTAATGAGATCGTTGAGTGAGTTACAAGAGCGAGAATATTGAGATAGAAGCACGAAATCAGTGAGGTAACAGGCCTGTAGCAAATATTTTCCCGTCTGAACACTACTTTGCTCGCACTGTTGGACCGGTTCCTTTCTTTATATCGCCATTCGCTGTTATTGCCTCTTCAAAATCAGTTATAAGAACATCCCGCATTGAAAATCTCTTATTCTTACTACTCTGTTGATGTATTCCGACATATAATGTTTTTCCTTAATGGCCCAAATTTTTGTCTTCGTGTCTTTCTTACACCGCTCTCAGGCATCCGCCGCCAGCGTGGCCATCCCCTCCTTCGGCGACTGGCAGAACAAACCCTCCGTCACTCCCGCTACCGCTCCTGGAAAGGGCCGCGCAGGCGCGCCAAACGGGAAGGTTTATGACGGGGATGAGGATGGCGGTTACACTGAAGTATTCAAAAAAAGGGCCGACGGGCGAGCAGCAGCCGGATCTGCCATGTCTCCTCAGTCCACCCTGGGGTATCAAGCGTCAGGGGCTAACCAACAGTCGTCTGGAGGTGACTCGGGAAGGGGACGGGTACAGTATGCGCAGGGGATGCAGTACGGTGAGAGGCCTCTGCAGTCCGGTGAGAGGCCTCAGCAGTACGGTGAGAGGCCTCAGCAGTATGGTGTGCGAGCGCAACAGTCAGGGATCAGCCGGCAGTCGTCAGGAGCGAGCCAGCAGCAGTCAGGGATCAGTCGTCAGTTGTCTCGTGATAGCCTGCTGTCGTCAGGGTCGAATCGGCAAGTGTACGGAATTGACCAGCAGCCATCAGGACTCAGCCAGCAGCCGTCAGGATTCAACCAGCAGCTATCAGGATTCAACCAGCAGCCGTCAGGATTCAACCAGCAGCCGTCAGGATTCAACCAGCAGCCATCAGGACTCAACCAGCAGCCGTCAGGACTCAACCAGCAGCCATCAGGACTCAACCAGCAGCCGTCAGGACTCAACCAGCTGCCATCAGGACTCAACCAGCAGCCGTCAGGATTCAACCAGCAGCCGTCAGGATTCAACCAGCAGCCGTCAGGACTCAGCCAGCAGAAGCAACAGCAGCAACAGCAGCAGCACCAGCAGCAGCAGCAGCTGGCCTATCATCATCAGCAGCAGATGCAGTTGACTTACGAACAGCAGCAATGGCAACACCAGCAACAGCAGCAAGTGACTTATCAGCAGCAACAGCAGCAACTGATTTACCAGCAGCAACAGCAACTGGCTTATCAGCAGCAACAGCAGCAACAACAGCAGCAGCAGCAGCAGCAGCGGAGGCCACCACCACCACCACATTCAGCAGCAACAGCAGCAACAAATCATGCACGATCAAATTGGGCGAGGTTTGCGAGGGAGCATCGGAGGGACTCTCACACCCATCTATAGTGGCAGCAGCGGCACCACTCAAAAGCAGCAGCAGCAATCACACTGCAATCACATCGGGCGAGAGGTGGGTATGGGAGGGAGCATCGCACCCATTTATAGTGGCAGCAGCACCACTCAGCAGCAGAAAATGTCGCAGCAGCAGCAGCAGCAGCAGCATCAGCCACACTCAATGCATGGTCAAATGGGGCGAGACATGGGTATGGGAGGGAGCATAGGAGGGGCCCTGGTACCCATCTACAGTGACAGCAGCACCACTGACGATGATGCACCTGCTGTCTCGGGAAGCAGCGTTGGGGACAACTTTATCAATGACTCGGTTATTGATAAGACTGTTACCAGTTACACAGTTACCAATGACACTGTTACCGGTTCCAATGTTACCGATAATACGGTTACCATTCACAATGTTCCCAGCAACACGGTTGCAGACTTGGTGAGTTCAGCCGGAGAAGCAGAAGGAACGGATGCAAAGGTTGTGCCATCAACAGCAGCAACATCACCCCTACCAGCACCACCCTTAGCAGCATCAGCAACATCAGCAGCAGCGCCAGCAGCGGGAGGGATGCCGACGATGCAGGAGCTGCAGCTGCTGCAGATGCAACTGCTGGAACAGCTGCAGCGCGTACAGCTAGTGTTGGGCAGCCAAAGCGGTCTCCCTCTTTGTGAGTCGACTCAAGAACAGCTGCAGCGCGTTCAGCTGGTCCCGGGGAGCCAAAGCGCTCTCCCCTTTACTGTCCCGCCCCTTTCTTCTTCTGTTGCTGCTCCCATAGCTGCATCCCTTGCTGCTGTCGCTGCTCCGGTTGGTGCTGCTGTTCCCGTAACTGCTGCTACGCCAATACCTGCTACCCCTACCTCACTGCCTGCGGCCCCCGCCCCCTTACCTGTTACCCCTGCCCCTTTACCCGCTGCTTCTGGCCCCATGCCTGCTAACCCTGCACCCCTAACCGCTATCTCTGCCCCTGCTATCATGCCTGCAGCTGCATCTAGTGCTGCTGCTAGTTTTGTGGCGCCTCAAACTGCGTCTACTGCTGCTGCTAGGGAAGAAGCTGGGTGGATAAACGAACAGGAAGCTAAGGGAATGGGGAAGGAAGGCGAGGAGAAAGGGTGGGTGAACAAGGAAACAACTGAACAACAGGAGGCTGAGGGGGGGGTTGGGAAGGAAGGCGAAGAGGGAATGTGCATGAACAAGGAAGAATTCGAAAAGCAGGAGGTTAAGGAGGGGAGGGGGAAGGAAGGGGAGGAGATTGGGTGGATGAAAGGGGAGGAAGCTGAGGAGGGTGAGAAAGAGGGGGAAAGTAAGAAGGATGAAGCCAAGGAGGCGGAGGAGGAGGGAGAGGAAGATGAAGAGGAGGAAGATGAGGAGCAGTGGAAAGCACAGGTGCTCAGGATGGCCGCAGCGATGAGTGTTGGAGAGGGAGGGGGAGGGGGGGGAGAGGGAGGAGAAGCACCAGCAGCACCGGCAGCACTGGCACTTGAGAATTCAACTGACGCAGCAGTGGGGCCTGGTCCCGGGTTCTATGGGGCACCTGATGAGGCACCTGACGCAGCAGTGGGACCTGGTCTCGGGTTCTATGGGGCACTTGAGAAAAAGCCTGGTGCAGGTTCTTCAGGCAATGATTTATCTCTCTGCCGTTTTTCATCAGCCGCAGCTGCAGCAGCAGATGCAATGGAGGAGGGGGCAGCAGCGGCTCTAGAGGCAGCACTAGCTGAAGCTGAAGTAGCAGCAGGAGCATTTTCTTACACAGGTGTGGATTCAGGTGCAAGTGCAGGTGTAAATTCAGGTGTTGCAGAGGCAGGATCTAATGGTGCATACCATGGGGCACGGGAAAGCTACTTGTTACGAGTGGCAGCAGCCGAATTAGCAGGTGGGGTAGAGGAAGCACCTGAGTCGCTCACAGCTGCTCTTGCGAATGCTGAAGTTGCAGCAGGGGCTGATGCTGCTGATGCTGGTGCTGCTGTTGCTTCTGGCAGCAACAATGGCTTGGCACATGCGAAGCCTAATAAACTCGGCAAATTACCCTTTATGAAATCAGTTTCGGTACCAAAAGGTTTTGGGGCCTTGTACCCTTTGGGGCCGAAATCCCCATTCCGAAGTCTGGCAAGGGCAGGTTCGGGAAACGTGGCAGGTGGTTTGGAAGGCATAGCTGGAGCTGGAGCTGCCAACCCGAACCTGCACCCAGAGCAGGAGGATGGGGAGGAGTGGGGAGGCGCCACTGAGAAGTTTCAGAGGATGGGGCTGGCTCGGAAAGCAAAGCCCTCGTTTAAAGGTGGGAGGCCCGGGCGCATTGATGAGCAGAACAGTTCTTGTAACGAGGATGCTTATATGGAGAGTGGTTTTGGTGGTAGGCAAAGCTTCGAGTCTAGTGAAGGATCGTGGCGAGGAGGAAGAGGCGTAGGGAGAGGAGATGGGGAGGTGGAGAGGGGTGGTTTCAGGGGTGTTGGCGGAGGGGAGGAGGAGGAGGAGGAAGGTGAGGAGGGAGGAGGGGGGTTTACAGAAGTGTTTCAGCAGAAAATGTTGGCTCGGAAGGTGAAACCCTCCTTTGGGGGTGGGAGGCAGCAAGGGATTTTTGAGAGGAACAGTGCGTGTGATGAGAGTGCTTATAACGAGAGTCTTCACAACATGAGTGACCGGTATGCTGACCAGGAGAGTGCTTATAATGGGAGTGCTTATAATGAGGGTGCTTATTCTGTTGCTGGCAGTGAGCGGGAGGAACGAGGGATGGGCTTACCATCAGGGTCTGGGGCGTGTGGCGGATTGCCTGCTGCTGATAATGGGTTCTGTGAGGTTTCAAGCGGTTCGGGCAGTTCTGGTGCAATATCAAGCGGTGCAGAGGATTCCGGTCGTGCTTTAAGGGGTGCTGCTCCTTCCCCTGCTTCTGGCTTAGGCCCTCCTCACCTTGCCTTAGGCCCTTCTATTCCTGTTGCCAGCTTTCCTGGTGCCCCTGCTTTGGGGGGTGTTCCTGCTTTGGGGGGTGTTCCTGCTTTGGGGGGTGCCCCTGCTTTGGGGGGTGCCCCTGCTTTGGGGGGCGCCCCTGCTTTGGGGGGCGCCCCTGCTTTGGGGGTGCCCCTGCTTTGGGGGGTTCAAATTTGTTGGGGGGTGGCCCTCTTTTGGGAAGTTCGCCTCTGATGGGGGGTGCTCCTTCCTTTCCGGCTTTCGGCCCTGGTGCTGGTTTTGGTGGGGGGAATGGTTTTGGTGCTGGAGCTGGTTTTGGTGCTGGAGCTGGTTTTGGTGCTGGAGCTGGTTTTGGTGCTGGTGCTGGTTTTGGTGCTGGAGCTGGTTTTGGTGCTGGTGCTGGTTTTGGTGCTGGTGCTGGTTTTGGTGCTGGTGGTGGCTTAGCCAGGGGTGCTGCCTCTCACACACCCGGATCAAACGCTTTCGCCTCTGCAGCTCTGAACATCGCTGCAGCAGCAGCAGGTCGACCCCCCCCGAAACACACTCCTCACCTTGCCACCCTCCCGCCTGCCTCTGCTGCCGATGCTGCTGCTGATGCTTCCGCGGCTGCGGCTGCTGCCGCTGCTTTCGCTGGTGCAAAACCCGGTCGGAGGGATGGTGTGGCAAATGGTGGCGGGTACGGTGGAAATGGTGTTGGGTACGGTGGAAATGGTGGTGGGTACGGTGGAAATGGTTGGGTGCACGAGGGAGTGGCAGCAGCAACAGCAGGAGGGGCAGGAGCAGGAGGAGCAGCAGGAGGGGCAGCAGTGCCTGCAGCAGGGCATGGTCAAGAAAAAAAGGTAAGATATCATGTTGGATAAATACCTCTATGGCACCACTAGGGTGTTTTCCTAACTTGTTCTGCTGCCTGCTCGCTATGGTTTTTGAGAATTCTCGAAATCCACTTGCAACAAGGTAGGTCAGCAGGCTGACAGCGCCAGTAGGGTGTTTCCAATTAACTAGGACTATGCATGCTCCCTCTGGCAACATTGGGGGTGTTGAATTGGTATCTCTGGCTCTTCCTGCCCGCATCTGTGTATATGTTGGTGTCATGCCCTTACTCTCATTCCCTATCCTCGGCTCAGGGAGCTCTGGTAGGAATGCAATTTTTTAGGCGCCTAAAAAATTGAGACGATTTTTTAGGCGCCTCGAAATTTGAATACGGTAGATGGAGCATGTAGCTTTGGTAGGAGGAAACGACTGGTTCATCTGCCTTTGAAGCTGTTTTTTCCCGTCACATGCATTCTTGCCGTATCTCTTCTCCTGCACTCGTTCTTATCTTTTTTTAAAGTGATGCGCTTGTGCGTGCCTTACCGGTTTATCTCGGTGTCCTTTTGTGTGCTCTGCTCTCAACCCCTTGTGTGCCTACTGCATTTGACCCTTTCTCGTGCCCCTACGATTGCAGAATGTTTCGGGATTTATCAACAAGCTTTGGAAAAGGTAAAACCTGCCACCTATTTGCATCAGTGTCTGCACTTGTAGTGATAGGGCACTTAGATTCCCTGAATTTAGGTTTTCTGGGTATAGAGAATAGCCTTGTTCAGCTGAACACCTTCACTGCACTGGGATGGTTTTAGTGTACTATTGTATTGTCCCGCTTGGATTTTCCCCTAATATAGACTCATGCAATTCGCTAAAGTGACATACGGGTGATGCATCATGCTACAGCTGAGAACTTTCATGACCAATCAAATTTGCTTCCTCCATGTTGGTCCCGAGTCTACCTGTCATTGGGATGACGTGTTTCCCAAGGCTGATATTGAACAAAGTAAGATTTTCGTACCGTGCGACCAACCGTCAGCTTTTCCTACGATTGCCTGGTAGCCAATCGCCAACTGCCAATGTGTAGCTTTGATCTCCTTTCGCCAGACCTACCGCCAAAGCAGTTTGCGCACTTTGCAGTTTTGAACCGAACTCCACCGACTAAAGTTTGCAAAAGGGATTGAAGCACCTGAACACGGAACAAGGAACCGAACTCCACCGACTAAAGTTACGCGTGCTTCTCACGGCTTCGCTTCGCTCTCGTTCGTTTCCAGCTTTCGTTTGTGATCCAGTCCAATTATCCAACAGCGGGCTGGAGTGAGTGGGTCACTTTCATTCCTTCCTGGTTGGTGGTGATTGGTTTTCACCGCTTCAGACCATTGCGCACCCGACTGGACCTTAGAAAGTCAGCTGTAAACCAACAGAAATGACCCGCCTAATCCGCAACGCTATTGCTCTGCTTCTGCCCTCACAGCTTCTCCCAACCTGCATTACCCAGCGCTTCTGCTACTTCCGCCTGTCCTCTCCCTCTCTGGAACAATGTACTGTAGTGGTTACATCCTTCCTTATTGTAGCTCATTTTTCTTCTTCCCCCATTCGAGGATGCGCTGCTTGATTCCACTAGCAGTCTCGTCGATAACTTCATCCCTTTCGTCCACTGATTTCCACGCGTGACCTGCTTGTTACAGCAACGTGGCCACAGTCTCGTTCTCATTTGTTCCAATCTTCGACAAAACACATTCTTTGAAGAGCTTTTTCTTTTACATCTACAGCCGCGTGTGATACCCTAAAGAAAGCCATGGACGATGATGCTAAAAGCATCGGTTCCAGTGAAAGCTCTGGGTCAGTCAACCATGCCAGCAGTAAAAAGGGAGGCATCGTTATCAAGAATCGCCTCAAAGGAAAGGTAAGTTTTTTTGGTTAAAAAAAATCATAGTAACAGCGACAGCTGTGAGTAATAAGAGCGAGAATAACGTGACGAAAGAACGACGATGAGATAGAAGAGCGCCGATAACGAGATAGAAAGAGCGACAATATTGAGATAGAAAGAGCGACACTAACGCAATAGAAGAGCGACAATAACGCAATAGAAAAGCGACAGTATCGAGATGAATGATGGACGATAGTGAGTTAGTGGAGCGACAATAATGATGGAAGAGCGACGGTAATGAGATACAAGAACGAGGGTAATGAAATAGAGCGACAATAATGAGACTGAAGAGCGACGAGCATGATACTGAAAAGCGCAACTCCGAGATAGAAGAGCGACAATAATGAGATTGGACGAGCAACAAGTATGAGACTGAGGAGCGACAATAATGAGACTGAAGGGCGAAAACACTGAGGTGGTCGACCAACAACGGAACCACAGTTTTGCTATCCTTGATCAACCTGGTCCAATTTGTATATCGTCTTTCGTAAGTGTTTTTTATTTCATGACCTCCCTGTGCTGTTTTTGCCGTTGTTGCAAGTATCACTTAATGCTCTTATTTTCTTGGTTTCCGACCCAATTTTTTTTCCTTGTGGCTCGATTTTATGTCTTTGTGTCTCATTTCCACGAATCCATCTTGCGTCAGACAAAGTTGATTTTGAAACCCATCTGAAATCTCTCGGTATTGTTGTGCCTCCTCCCTTATTCCTTCTCCTTCCCTCACCCCTCCTTCCCCTTCCCTTTTTCTGCCTCTCGTTCCTTCCAACTTTCCTCCCCACTCCCCCCTTCCCCTCCCCCCTTCCGCTTTCCCCCTCCGCCGCTGCCAGACATCCGCGCCTAGCGTGGCCCTCCCCTCCTTCGGCTACTGGAAAACCGAACCCTCCGCCACTCCCGCTGCCGCTCCTGGAAATAGCAGCGCAGGCGCTCCAAACGGGGCTGTTCATATCGGGGATGAGGACGGCGTGTGCACTAAAGTATTTAAAGGTTGGGCCGACGTGCGAGCTGCACGCTATGGGACTGCCTTAAGGGGTGAGTCCAGTCTGGGTCGTCAAGGGTCAGGGGTTAGCCAGCAGTCTTCTGGAGGTGACTCGGGAAGGGGACGGGTACAGTATGCGCAGGGCATGCAGAGTGGTGAGAGCCCTCTGCAGTACGGTGAGAGCCCTCTGCAGTACGGTGAGAGCCCGCTGCAGTACGGTGAGAGCCCGCTGCAGCACGGTGAGAGGCCCCAGCAATATGGTGAGAGGCCCCAGCAATATGGTGACAGGCCTCTGCAGTACGGTATGCGAGCGCAGTCGTCAGGGATCAGCCGGCAGTCGTCAGGCGATAGTCTGCTGTCGTCGGGTTTGAACCAGCAGGCGTTCGGAATTGACCAGAGGCCGTCCCGAATCAGCCCGCAGTCACCAGGTCTCGATCATCAGCCGTCAGTAATCAGCCGGCAGTCGTCAGGGATCAGCCGGCAGTCGTCAGGTGATAGCATGCTGTCGTCAGGGTCGAACCAACAGGCGTTCGGAATTGACCAGAGACCCTCACGAATCAGCCCGCAGTCGCCAGGTCCCGGTCATCAGAAGTTGGTATTCAGCCGGCAGTCGTCAGGCGAGAGCCTGCAGTCGTTAGGGTCGAACCAGCAAGCCTTTGAAATTGACCAGAGGCCGTCCCGAATCAGCCCGCAACCGTCAGCACCCAGCCAGCAGCCATCAGGACTCAGCCAGCAGCAGTCAGGACTCAGCCAGCAGCCGTCAGGAGCAAGCCTGCAGGCGTATGGGGTGGCACGTCCAATGTCCGGGGAGTCGATTGCGGGTTTGAATGTAAGGCTTCAGCAGGAGCATCAGCAGCTGCAACACCAGCGCAATCAGCAGCCACAGCCGCAACAACTGTTCTATCAGCAGCAACAGCCACAACAGCTGGCTTATCAGCAGCAACAGCCGCAACAACCGGTTTATCAACAGCAACAGCCACAACAGCTGGTTTATCAGCAGCAACAACCTCTCGTCAAATTGGCTTATCAGCAGCAACAGCCACAACAACTGGATTATCAACAGCAACAGCCACAACAGCTGGCTTATCAGCAGCAACAGCCACAACAACTGGTTTATCAACAGCAACAGCCACAACAGCTGGCTTATCAGCAGCAACAACCGCAACAATTGGCTTATCAGCAGCAACAGCCGCGACAACTGGCTTATCAGCAGCGACAGCCTCAGCAACTAGCGTATCAGCAGCAACAGCAGCAACAAATTCAGCAGCAGCTGCACCAGCAGCATCAACCGCAACAAATGATGTACAATCAGATGGGGCAAGAAATGGAACTGGGAGGGAGCATTGGAGTGCCTCTAGCACCCACCTTCAGTGACAGCAGCAACAGCAATCAGCCGCAACAACATAAGCTGGCGCATCAGCAGCACCAGTACAATCAGCAGCAGCTGGCGCATCAGCAGCAGCAGCACAATCAGCAACAGCCGCAACCAATGCACGGTCAAGTTGTGCGAGAAATGGGTATGGGAGGTAGTTTTGACAGGGCTCTAGCACCCACCTTCAGCAGCAGCATGAGCAATCAGCAGCAACAAATGGATTATCAGCAACGAATCCAGCATCAGCAACAAATGGGGGACAATCAATTGGGGGGAGAAATGGGTGTCGTAGGGAGCATTGGAGAGGCTCTAGCACCCACCTTCAGCAGAAGCATGAGCACCACGGACGATGATGATGGTGGACCAATGGCAGCAGCAGCGGTGCCAGCAGCAACGCCAACAGCAGTGGCAACTACACCGGGAGCGCCACTGTTAGCACCAGCGGCAGTAGCAGAGCTTGAGCTGCTACAGCTGCAACTGCTGGAACAGCTGCAGCTCGTGCAGCTGGTCCTGGGCAGCCAAAACGCGCTCCCTCTTGCCCTTACACCAGTGGCTGCTGCCGCTGCTACCCCTGCTGCCGCTGCTACCCCTGCTGCCGCTGCTACCCCTGCTGCCGCTTTTTCTGCCGCTGCTGATGCATCAGTAGCAGCACAATCAGCAGCAACAAATGCTGCTTCAAGTTCAGCACGGCCTCCTGCTGCTGCTTCTCCTACTGCTCCTGTTGTTGCCGCTGCTCCTTCACCTTCTTCCCCTGCCCATCCACCTGCTTCTCCTTCCAATC